AAATGTTATTTGTGTAGGCTATTTTACTTTTAATTTAATTAGAAGTAGGCCAACAGCACCCCCTACAGATTAAAACTCCTTACCGAACCGGCATTAGGACCCGGGGGAGGCTGCCGCTGCTGCACGTGCTATTACGGTTTACTCTATCATACACCGAACGCATTCTGTACGTGCATTCTCAGTTTAAATGCAGCGATCCAAAACATTGAATCCAATCACCATTCAGGCAAAACTTTGCTTCTAGAATGAGCCACACTGCTGACGTGATCTAATCGCTAGCAGACCCTGAGCACATTTGAGTTAATGCATTCCTCTTATCGGCAAGACATATCGGCATAATTTTTCATATCGGGCCGATGCCGATATTTACATTTAAAGCCATTATCAGCCGATTCCGATATTGGTCCGATAATATCGTGCATCCCTATTCTTAATGGATTTACCTGATTTTCCCCGGTTTGAACTGTTGCATCTCTCTTTCTCCTCTTCCAGGAGCCACATTGGCAAAACCATCCTGAGCCAGCCTGCCTGCGTGTCTAAACTGCTGTCTCTGCTCCTGGACCAGCGGCCCTCGCCCAAACTGGTGCTGATCATCCTGCAGCTGTGCCGCGCTGCGCTGCCGCTCATGAGTGTGGAGGATTGTGGGAATGTAGCGCTGCCGTCCTGGAGCTATGCGACGAATGCGCTGGACGCAGAGCAGCAGGAGGCCAGTGATCCTGCCTTCCGCATCGCGTCGCTGCTGCTGGCCAAGCTGGCGGACTATGTGGTGCCAGGTGCGAGAGAATGCAGCTTGGGTTTAATAAAAATAATGAAGGGTCTCTCAAATGTATCATGTTTTATGTGCCTTTGTGTTCAGGCCAAAGACTGTGTTAACCGTCACTCTATAACTGGCTTTGAGGTCGATACAATTTTTGAACATTAAAGTCTGTTCTGCTCACTCGTCATTTGATCCGAAACACAGTACAAACTGTAATATTGTGAAATGTTATTATAATTTAAAATAGCTGTTTTCTATGTGAATATCTGTTAAAATGTAATTTATTCCTGTGATCAAAGCTGTATTTTCAGCATCATTACTCCAGTCTTCGGTGTCACATGATCTTCAGAAATCATTCTAATATGCTGATTTGCTGCTCAAGAAACATTTCTGATTATTATCAATGTTGAAAACAATTGTGCTGCCTGATGTTTTTGTGGAAACTGTGATGCAATTAATTTTTCGCAATTATTTGATGAATAGAAAGCTCAAAGAACAGTGTTTATTTCAAATAGACATTTTCTGTAGCTGTATTTTTACGAATTTTTCCAATATTATCATTTTTGATCATTTAAATACATCCTTGCAACTGAGGGACGTTATAGTTTACTAAAACAACAAAAAAAAAATGTTCTGCTTGAAATAACTTAAAAAAATAAAAATAAAAAAATTCAACTTATTTTATTTCTGCTAGTTGCACAGCATTTCTCATTTTTATTTAGTTTCACTTGATCTACTAAGATAATTAAAACTGTTTATTTCAGTCTTAGTTTATATAGTTGTAATAAAAACTATATAGACAGTTTTCAAAAATGCAAACAAAAAAAAATGATGAAAATATGCAACAAAATTACTACTTTAACTTAACTTGCCAATTCACAGGTGCTATTTTTTACTTTGTTATTTTACTTTCAGGCACTATTTGTGACCCTGGAGCACAAAAGCAGTCTTAAGTCGCTGGGGTATATTTGTAGCAATAGCCAAAAATACATTGTATGGGTCAAAATTATTGATGTTTCTTTTATGCCAAAAATCATTAGGATATTAAGTAAAGATCATGTTCCATGAAGATATTTTGTAAATTTCCTACCATAAATATATCAAAACTTAATTTTTGACTAGTAATATGCATTGCTAAGAACTTCATTTGAACAACTTTAAAGATGATTTTCTCAATATTTAGATTTTTTTGCACCCTCAGATTCCAGATTTTCAAATAGTTATATCTCGGCCAAATATTGTCCTATCCTAACAAACCATACATCAATGGAAAACTTATTTATTCAGCTTTCAGAAGATGTATA